AGAGATCAATGACTCATCAATATCATTGAACGTCTAAAGCATACAAAGTTATCCGTTTAATTCATCAGTTCCTGTATTCCTAGGTTTCTTAGATTACAGTCTTATTTGTTCAAGCCTTTCATGGGAGGCACTCAGATACCTTTCTTTTAAAATAATTGTCTTGCTTCAATTTGGTTTGTCAACACTGTTTTTGTTGTTCTGCTACTGATCTTTTTGTTTCGAGCGATATTTCCATTTCACTCTTATATGAAGTGTTCCAATAACTTGGACCGATTTTAAATGTGAATTATGTTTAAGCATCTAATGATTTTTTTTTTCTTTTTCTTTCAGATTCAGTAACTTAACTCTTTGGCAATGTCAACCATGGAAAGATTAACAATCAAACAGCCTATTACGAATATGGACGTTCAAATTTATAAACATACGGCACAATGTTTCCGCTGACCAAACAGTGACCTTTTATGGATGCAGTGGCTTTTCAACACTCTTCCTTGGATTTTCATCAGCCCAAATGCAATAATTCTGCTTATTAATGCACCAAGATGAAAATGGCTTCATCACTAAAGAGGATTTTTCGCTAAAAATCTTCATCGGATTGTCTTTGCTCATGCACCCAATTGACGAATGTACGGCACTCCAAATGGTCAGCAGGTTTCAGTTCTTGTGTCAATTGAATTTTGTAAGCGGGTAGAGACAAATTTTTTGACAAAATTCGATGTAACGTTGTTGAGGAGAGGTTCAATTCGTTTGCGCGATTATGAATAGAGATGTCTGTTTTTTTTTCGGCCACATTCTCGTGCACTGCAGCAATGCTTTCAGCTGAACGGCGTAAAAGAGCAATCAGTGTGTTTTCACATCTGCCAACGACCCAGTTCGTTTGAATTTTCAATTGCACTTTCGGTTGGTCGATTATGTTTGACTGAAATTGAGAACCAGACTACTATAATTTCAAATATATAGAACTGATATGTAAAACCTTATTTTTTTTTGGGGTGGGGAGGGGGAATCTATATACAGTAAAACGGGAAGTAATAAAAGGTGTTCCAATAACTTGGAGCAATTTTAAATATGAATTAAGTTTAATGATTTTTTTTTCTTTCAGATTTAACAACTTAAATCTTTGGCAATTTCAACCATGGAAAGGTTAACAATCAAACAACGTGTTAAAGTTTCAAGAGTGCAATTGGAAAAATTGTAAACTCAAACAAACTGGGTCGGTGGCAGATTTGAAAACACCATTGCGTATTTGTTTACGCTGTTCAGCTGAAAACATTGCTGCTGTGTGCGAGAATGTGGCCAAAAATCCAGACACTTATTTGTAATTGTGCACAGGAATTAAACCTCTCCATAACAACGTTACATCATTTCCAATTGCACTCTTGGTTGGTCAATTATGTTGAACAAAAAAATTCAAGTGCATGAAATGCATTTGTTTGAACGTCCATTTTCATAATAGGCTTTGATAACTTTAACATGTTTGATTGTTAATCTTTCCGTGGTTGAAATTGTCAAAGACTTAAGTTGTTAAATCTGAAAAAAAAAAATCACTAAACAATTAAATTTAATTCACATTTAAAATTGGTCCAAGTTATTGTAACATTCTTTATTTTATAAAATGATGCAGAGTGGTAAATGTTAAAGACCTTTTCTGATTTAGAATTGGCTTTCTGGTTCCTTCTCTAAACTCTTATACTCCTTCATTACCAGGAGCCTCTTGTATATTAGTAGTGCTGTTACTTTGCTATTTTTTTTCTTTTGAAATAAATTTTCATTTGTACCCCCTTACTTCTTAAAATGACGACCAGCATTCCTATTTATGATTATTATTGCAATATATTGTTAAAGTTGTCAAGCTCAAATATTTAACAGTGGAATAAGGGAATTACTACGGATATTTTGAGATATATTGTCGTCGAACTCGCCAAGACTTGAGGCAGTGAGAAACTTAGATCGGCAGAGCACTTGCTATTGAAATAGCGAGAAAATAGCGAGAGTTTTGGGAAGTTTCGTCCGCAGGAAACTGATTGTAGGGTGGAAAATAATTCATCACCTACAAGGCCGTGATTGGGTGTTATGGTAGGTATACTGGGCTTCATATGTTTATACCTGGACGTCGCTTTTTTTTTGGCAGGCTGCTGTTTCAAAAATAATAATAATAATTATAACAGGAAATCCCAAAATATTATTATTATTATTATTATTATTATTATTATTATTTTATTATTATTATTTCCTTTGATTTCTGGCGTGTACACATTTCTTTCCGGGTTCCGCCCAGAGACCTAAGGTTAGAAATGTCATCATGACACTTTCCACTGATATATATATATATATATATATATATATATATATATATATATATATATATTAGGTTGGTGCAAAAGTAATGATGTAATAATGTCGTTTTTGACGTTAAAAATACGTTAAAAACGACATTATTGCGTCATTATTTTTGCACCAACCTAATATATTACATAGATAAAGCCCTTCGTAAAGTGTGAGCTGTACTTGTGCGAACAATGTTTTTGTATTTCTTTAAGGCATGGGCTTCGAAGAATCTCTTCAAATAGTCTACTGAAATTTTTTCCAACCAATCCTAGGGCTACAACTACAACGGGAATTGTGGATGTTCCCATGTGCCACATGTTTGAGATTATTATTATTATTATTATTATTATTATTATTATTATTATTATTTCTTTTGATTTCTGCTGCATACCCATTTCCTTCTGGCTCCCAACCACAGACTACGGATCAAACATTTTCCCCTGAAAATTTTTGTATAATATAAAAATAAAGCAACTTAAGATCACAGACATTTTACATAAAGCCCTTCGTAATGTGTGTGCTGTACACTTTTGAGAACATTATAATTATTATTATTATGAATATTATTATTATTATTATCACTTGTTTATGGATCCCAAAGAGAATTATTATTATTATTATTATTATTATTATTATTATTATTATTATTATTATTATTATCATCGCACCTAAGGACATCAGTATTATAGCACACAAGGACATAATTCCAGTTGTGGTTGGGGTCCTTGTTTTGATTGGAAAAGTTTCAGACACACTCACTGAAGGAATCCCTGGTAGCCTATGCCTTTTTAAAGAAATACCAAAAATTGCTCTAACAAGTACCGCTCACGAATTACAAAAAGCCTTCGGGATGGCTAAAATACAACGCGCAAGCCACATATATACACATTATGACATTATTATTATTATTATTGACTATGGATCACTCCACGAAAATTGGTGTAAATGGGGAAAGCCCAAGATGCACATTATGACACTATTATTATTATTATTATTATTATTAAGAATACTGGTAAAAATATATTGGGTTGGAGCATAATTATCAGGTGCTTTGTAGGTGAGTTATTTGTTAATAAAAATTGCTGTTTTGTTTAATTTTTTATAATAAAAATATTTTATTTTCAGGTTACAAAAATGCGTGTCGATAATCATACGCTCCGAAATAATCATTTTAAAATGTTATTGTTGAGTTGTTGTTTCTTTTTTCATAATAAATATTGTTTAAAAACGCCTGATAATTATGCACCAACCCAATACAAAGCCTAATATACACATTATGACACCATTATTGTTATTGAATGCGCAGCACCGCAAGAAAATTCGTACAAATATACAAAGCCCAACATACACATAATGACACCATTATTATTATTATTAGTGAATGCGCAGCACCCCCCCCCAAAAAAAAAAAATTCGTACAAATATACAATACGCAAGATACACATTATGGTACCACTATTATTATTATTTTTATTATTATTGAATGTGCAGAACTCCAAGAATACTGGTAAAAATATGCAAAGCCCAAGATACATATTATGGTACCATTATTATTATTATTATTATTATTGCATCGCTAAATATTTATATGAAAACAGATGAGATACTATGCAATCAGAGCGAAAGAAAATGTAATTGTGGTTAGTGCACAGAAGAAAATTTGTGCAAGAATTTAGAAGAACCCATGAGTCTGATTTTTTGTAATATTGTTGTTGTTGAAGAATATGTCAGAATCCCTACTGATTAGTCTTTTGTTCCATGTCTATTTCGTTTCGTTCAGCCAATTGAGCGAAAGTCAATAAGCAAAAGAATATGGACTTGGCACGAAAACGTTTTAAATAATCGCTCTCATTTTAGACTTCAAGTGGTGGAATTCTTCTGGCCAATTCATTGACTTTACTAGTGTGGGAAATGTAAGCAGCGTAGTGAAACAGTTCAGTGTGGGGTGGCATGCGAGTAAAATTCACCCGGAAGCCGCCTGGGAGTCTCGAAAAGTCCGTGGCACCAAAATGGCGGCCAATTAGACGAGGTGGCTGGCTGGTCGACACTGCAGCGCCATCTGCAGTTGTTAAAAGGCAAATAACCGGGAAGAAATATGAAGCAAATTATTGTTCGTTCCGTGTCCGGTGAGCCCATTTCGTAATTTCATAATTTCCCTCTTGGTTTGTAGATAATTTAATGAAGAAGTGGCAAAGAAAGAAAGAAAGAAGAAAGAAAGAAAGAAAAAAAAGAAAGAAAAAAAGAAAGAAAGAAGAAGATATAAATAAACTATCGAGAAAGAAAGGAGGAAAATATTGAATAAAACATTTAGAAAGAAATAAAGAAAAAAGAAAATGCAAAAGAAAGAAAATATAAAAGTAGCTCTCTTTGAAAAGAAAGAAAGAAACTGTCTTGAAAGAAAGAAAGAAAGAAAGAAAGAAAGAAAGAAAGAAAAAAAATGCAAAAGAAAGAGAATACAAAAGAAACTGTCTTTGCAAAGAATGAAAGAAGGAAAGAAAGACAAAATAAAATAAAAAAGAACCTATTTAGAAAGAAAGAAAGTTAATCCAATAGAAAGTATCAAGAAAGAAAAAAGAAAGAAATAACAAAAATAATCTTCAAAAAACACAATGAAACTTTCTGAAAAATTTTTCGTCTCAAACAATTGCAAAAAAATAAAAAAAAATAAAAGAGAACTGATTGAAAATAAAAAAAAATAAAAGAAGGAAAGATAAAGCAAAAGAAAGAAAGAACGAACGGATGAAAAAAAGTCAATAAAAGAAGTAAGAAAATTGTGGTAATAAAAATAATTACATCCCATCTCCCCTCACGCTTGTAACCATCCATCACAATAAAATAAAACGCTTTTTCATCGCTAATGCTGAATTAGCCAAATAAAGCTGCATAGGCTTCTACTTGGTGTTGTTACTTTATTGAAATAAAACGAACCAAAAGAACAAAAAATAAAAATAAAATAAATAAATAAAATAACAAAACTTTAAAAGCAAATCGAAATCACATAACAATGAGAGAAATGAGAGAAACACTAGAAAACAAAAGAAAAAAACTCAATCGATTTTCAAAGAAAGAAAGAAAGAAAGAAGAAAGAAAGAAAGTGAAAGACTGGTGAAAAAGAAAGCGAGGAATTAACAAAATAACTGGCAATATAAATAAATTGACAGTAAAGAGGCGAGAAAAGAAGAGGAAGCGGAAGAATAAGACAAAAAAGAATTATTAACTCAATGACGTATGTATGACGTAATATGTAAATAGACAGTGTAGCTGTTTCAACCATCCAAAGCAGATTTGATTTTGAAAAGTTTAAGTTGTTGTTGTCAATAATACGGAATATCCTACTTCCCAGGTGGCAAGTAATATAATTATTCTTCTCCCCCACCTCGTTTTTTTTCTGGTAACTCAAGCATTAGTATACCACAAGTACATACCTGACAGGCATATCAGTGGCACGGGAAAGCCAGAGGAATGTAAAAGCGGAATCTCCAGCATCCAACAACAATGGTAATCATTCAACGAAGGCGAATATTACTTCAGATCATACCTTAATTAAGAACTAGTGACTTACAACCAATTAATCGATTCACTCTATGGCCTACACGGCATGTCTAGATGCATCCAAGATGTCGACCAACAAGTCATCGATTACTGATCTTCACCTCGTTAGAGCAGTCTGATTTCACGCTCTTTCGAGCAGACGGCCGAGTTCGTATTTGGAGGAGATCGTATGAGGCTTTAGATTCTGGTGATGTTCATAAGACAAATTGAAGAAACTGTAGAAGATAGAACCCAGAAGAAAAACTTGAATCAATGCGGCCGTTCTTGGCCTTCAAACACTCTGGTAATGGTAACCCCTCAATGAAGGAGAACATTGCTTCAGGTCATATCTTAATTAAAAACTGGGGCCACTCAACCCATGAGTCAATTTAATTTACAGCCTACACGGCATCACTTGATGTTTCCAACTTACTGAGCAACAAACCATCGGTTTCTGAGCTTCACATAGGCCTGCCTGGTCAGTACTGTACAGCTTACACTGCATCACGTGTCCTTTCCAAGTTGTCGATCAGTAAGCCATCGGTAACGGAGGCAAGAGCAGTCTGATTTTCCGTACTTTCGAGCAGACGGCCGAGTTCGTATTTGGAGGAGATCGCATAAGGGTTTTGATACTGGTGACGTTCGCAAGAGCTACTGAGGAAACTGAAAGGGATAGGACTCGAAAAATTCCCTGCATTAATGTGGCCGTTCTTCTCCTGTTAAGCACATCTTTCTTACTTAATTTGTTAAGAACGATTCGATTAAGTGATATATTAATCACGAGGTACCACAGTCACTGAGCGTTCGAAAAAGGCTAGCCTCTCAAACTCAAGCGCCTTCCAGATATCTAAAGTTTCACCGTTCTTACTAAAGCTTGATAGATAAAGTCAGTAATGATCGTTAACACATGACTTAAAGAAACAATAGTGAAGACCACATTTGAAGATTTATGATTATAGCAGCAACTATTTCTTTTTTTACAATGATGTTTGCCCTGTACCAGGACCAACAGCCACTCGTTGTAGAGAGTTACAGAAGTCCGGTTTATGTCGGGAAGATAACGGTTAACCCTAGGTTAATATTGTAGTGATCAGGGAAGCGTCCTCAATACAGGGGTTCATGGGAATAATCTGCTCGAGGAACTGGAACTTATATCTCACCTGGGGAATACAAAGGGAATGAGGGTGGTTCGTTATAATGGGCGTGGCATGACGGGTCTTCGCTGTGAAGGTTAGGACAAGTAGAACTAAGGATCGTATTTCATCTGAACACTTGCCATGGAAATAGCGATAGAGAACGGATAGAGACGTTTTATCAGTAAGAAATGATTTTGATTCATTCATATTTTCCGGCTTATCGACCCTTTGTAGGTTATTTAAAGCCCAAATATTTCAGATTCTAAGATTTTTATACATAATACTGATTCAGTGATACAAGTCTTACAAATTAATCCATAGCTTTTTCAGGGATGTTTGCGTGTAAGCGAATTTATATTCGCTTACACGCAAACATCCCTGAAAAACCCAACTGGAATTGGAACTCGGCTCCCTGATTAAACATTCCGAGCCATTATCCATTAAACTACCCACACATCACGCTTACAGTATCTGGTATTGCCAAGCGGTTACCCCTCCAGATACTGCCCAGTCTCGACGTTGCTTAACTTTGCTGAGAGTAAGGGAACATGATGTGAACGTAAGCCTTGCGAGAAGGGGTTTCAAGGTTGGAAATACTTTCTCACCCACAAGGACGCGGAGACGCTTTTGGATTCTATCAAGATTGGAAAGTGAAGATTATGTAGCTCCTGTCCATATATGGTAGCGGTACTTAATTTTCGACCTGGTGTGACTCTTGTAAAGACAGGAGGAGTCACTTACTCACAGGAGCGGCACAGGGAACCGATCATTTAGCAGAAGTAACTAAAAAGGAAAAATAGTTATAGAATCAAAATGTTGACATTCCACATTATCTTAAACAAAAGGTTTGGAAGGAAAGAACGATAACAGTGTTCTCGAAAAGTCTAATTTCCCGAGAATAAGTTTTAAGAAAATGATTTTATGATATTCAAACTACAGTAACACTGGCTGTTCGGCCAATGAATGTCGAATGTTTCCTTATAAGGAAACAGTTTCTTTAACCTCTGTCATTAAACACGATCAATTTCCAGAAAGTCTGCTTGAAGAAAAATATTTTATAAATTTTAACCGACAGTAGCACTGGCTATTCGGTCAATGGATGCCGAATATTTCCTTATAAGGAAACAGCTAATCTCACCATTGCCATTAAACCAACATTTTACAAAAGGAACTCTCGTCAATACGAGAAAGAGCGATAAGTTACTGGACTTGAGAAATCTATTATCATTTCTGAAAGAAATTTTTTATAAATTTCAACCGACATTAGCACTGGCCCCACGGTCAATGAATGTCAAACATTTCCTTATAAGGAAACGGCTAATATTATCACTAGCATTATATAATACCGATGAGGATGTGTGAGTTTTATTGTTTATTGGATGATAGGTTTTCTTCTCTCTTGTCGAACTCTCTGATGAGAGTATGTCTGGGAAGTTAGACAAACCCAACCCCATTATTACCGGGTCTACGGGGAATTTTTTTCCGGACCTACGGGCTCGGAAAAACCGACGTTAAACCAGCCTTGTGCCATATCCCGCCTTGTGGGGAGGACTTTGGTAAATACCGAGTTAGCATTAGTGCCACCAGTTCTAATCTTCACGACTAAGATCTGCAATGCTATGCACATTGTAGCAAACCTCCCTCATTCTCTTCGTGTACCATTCTGGCGCTACAGAATCACAAAAAAGAACTGTACCAACAAAAACCACATCAGTTGAAGAATTTTAACAGCAACAGCAACTAAAATTAATGTCACAAGTAGCTCGAAGGTAAGATAATGATAGTACGTTTCACTATTTCAAATAAAAGTTTAGGAAGGAAAACCCCATCAATTCTGGAAAGAGAAATAATAGTGGACTTGAGAATCTTATTTTCTTGGAAATATTAATGTAAGAGAAAGATTTTATAAATTTCAACCGACAGTGGCTGTTCGATCAATGAATTTCGAATGTTTCCTTATAAAGAAACAGTTTCTCTAATCCCAACCATTAAACATGATCAATTTCCAGAAAGTCTGTTTGAAGAAAAATATTTTATAAATTTTAACCGACACTGGCTGTTCGGTCAATAAATGTCGAATGTTTCCTTATAAGGAAACAGCTAATCTCACCATTACCATTAAACGAAATGTTAGGAAAGAAACTCTCGTCAATACGAGAAAGAGCGATAACAGTGGACTTGAGAAACTTATTATCCTGAAAAGCCTTTTTTAAAACTAAATCTTTATAAATTTCAACCAGCAGTGACGTCATCTGATCATTTTCTCAGTTTCTTCCACTCACAGTAACCTCTAGCTTCTTAGTGGCTTTATCACCTTCTTGGGGTAAAATAATTAAAAAAAACAGCTTCTCTCACAAGGCTTTTCTGGTAATATATACACTAGCATTAAAACATGTCAAAGGTGGGGGGGGGATAAAGCTCCTCGTAGGGTCAAAGACGATATAGCACAATGAAATTGAACTCCAAAGCTATGGCTAGAGTCAGTGAAGTGATGACACGGCATCGCTGGGTAGTAATCTTCCGAGAATGAACTCAATGGCCAGCACGGAGGTTTTCACCGATGGAATCAAGGGTCATATATCCGTGTCCAAGACAAGCTTTCAAATTGTGCATCGGCTCTGGTTTGACATAGAGAGGGATAGCTTGCGCCAGCTCTACTATCCCAAGACACGCTACATCTGAAGTAATATTTATCTGGCTTTTAATCTAGAAATGTGGAAAGGACTGGTGAGGTGTTCTTTTGCAGAGACCCTGTGACCACACCCAGTCATTGGACCGATGATGATAATGATCAAAGAATATCAGTAGAGATGTTTGCAACAATTTCTTTAATGTCAGATCCACCCGAAAATGGTGTACTGCTTCCATATATGGACAAGAGTTACCCACTCTTGACTTTCCAATTTTGATAGAGTCCAAAAGAGTCTCCGCGTCCTTGGGGGTGATGAATTATTTTCCAACCCGCAACCTCTTCTCACGAGGCTTACGGCCACATCACGGAGAAACACGTTAAGCAACACCTAGACAGCTCAGTACCTAGATGGGTGACCGCTTGAGAGTAACAGATGCTGTAAGCTTAGACGTGCAGGGGGTGTAATGGATAATGGCTCGGAATTTTTTATTGGAGAGCCGAGTTCCAATTCCATTTGGGTTCTTTATATTCACTTACGGGTAAGTCCACTTGAGAAAGGTATGAATCCAGGTCTTAGCTCCCCGATATGGGTTAAAAAGTCTATACAATCTTAAAATATTTAGCTTTAAATAACATGGCATTAAATAACCTACAAAGGGTCGACGAACCGTAGAATAAATCTATTTCTATCTCTTCTCTATCGCTATTTCCATGGCAAGTATTCAGATGAAAAGCAATCCTTAGTTCCACGTTCTAATCGTCATAGCTGCATTCCCTTTGCATTGGTGAGATGTAAATTCCATAATATGCAAAAGATGAAATACGTGCCAGATTCTTCTGTGTAATGACCCTTCTGAACGTTGGCGATCATGGCTCTCCACAATTTCTTGTCCTTTGTTGCTCTTAATAAATTTTGTTATCTCTTCTAAACCATGATCCACCATCCATTTACTCAAGATCGCTAGGTAAATTACGCGTTGGTTTCCTCTGTTCCATCAATCTATCCTGTGAGTATTCAATTTTCCAAGCCCTCTTTCCTCATTATATACCCTTGATTGATTTTCTTTTAATCTACGTGATTTACCAAAACTCTTGAACGATAATTTTACCATCATTTACTGTTGTCTTCTCCACAATTTTTCATTCAGAGTTGTCATTCTCTTTGATTGGTCACCACCCAAAGTCAGGAAACTAGTCTTCTTTGCTATGTATTCCACTCATAGGGGAAGGTGGTTTCATGCTTTTCCAAGGGCATTACAGCCGTATCGAGAAAATTGTTCGAAAATAATTGTTAGAAAACAATTATTCAAAAAAAAACAACATTTATTCGAATTGTAAATTGTTTGAAATGGAAATTAATCGAAAGAATAATTATACTAAAATATAATTATTTAAAATACCTATGTTTGAAATATTTATATGATCTTGCTTTGTGAGAATCAATTGTGATTTACCTAGAACTAAATACGCACTTGAAGGATGGAATAGGACCTTTCTTACAGCAAGTGTTATCCTGTGGCGGACTTCACCACATTAATTTAACTTTAGATTAGAAAACAAGACTCAGGTGGAAAAGGATAAGTAAAAGACATTGTTACACATAAAATATGTATTTAACAAGATGTACATTATCAAACAAAGCATTCATTTAAGTGAGAAAAGCTTTATTATTTTGCATTTCAAAGTTCACTGGAAGAATGTTTATGAGAGTTTCTTATAATGACTATTCTCAGAAGATTTTGCTGTGTAAGAAAACATTATGTGAGTGTACAAGGAATATTCAGCATGTGAGTGGTCGTGTGAGTGAGAAACTTGGCGCGTCGTTTCAACTGTCGTGGATTCGTTTGGCAGCTGAAATCTCACTACTTAGCTAAGAAAAATTCTTCTTTATATAAGTGACTATAGGCTCCAGACTGCTACACGGGAAAAGTTACTCTTTACGTGTAGACGATCTGATTGGTTGGCATTGACCAATCAGCGAGCGAGTTTTGGGGGGACTTAAGATAGCTTCTGGGATCCGTTTCTCCCAAAAGTGCACAACATTGACTACATGAAAATAGAGCGATTACAAAATTGTCAAATTGCTGCGATTTGTAAATTGTCTATAATAACGTAGTGGTGATTTATTAACCAATGAATGCTTATCGTTGTATATGATTTGTATTTGTGTATGTATGTATGTACGTATGTATGTGTGATATGCAATCCCATCGTCCCACAATATGGAAATTCTTAGACCCTCTTAAAGAGAACAGGACTTGCAAGAAATTCATATTACAAAAGTAAGATCAGGTTGCCAAAATATCAAGAGTGCCAAGAGATAACGTAAATGGTAAACCTAAAAATTAGTGGCATCATTTAACGAATACTCTTCAGTTGTTGACTATTTGCGTGCAGTATTATAGCGATCATCATCATCGCAAACACACACATTAAAAATTCAAATCTTTAACAGCATTCATTCATTGGACAGAAAACAACGCTGCTATCTGAAACGACAATTTTAAAATCGCTATATTTTCATATAGTAAACTGTGTGCACTTTTGGGAGAATAGGCTCCCATAAGTCTCTCCAAAAGTCAGTATCAACCAATCAGATTCTCTGCATGTGGAGAATGATTTTTGCCGCGCAGATTCCTAATTCGATGACTACCTATATAAACAGAACAAAAGAGGACCAACACCAGTGAAACTTCGACTGCTACTGGAATCCACGTCAGTCGAAGACATGCGCCCATCTTCTCACTCACTCTCAAATTACATATTCTATCACACTTACATAATTTTCCTCTTGCACGGCAGAACTGTCTCAAACATTTATAACAGACGAATAACTCTTTCATTTCCTTTTCAGAGAACATTGATAAACTTTTATAGTCAAAGAGAGACTACTCTCGTCTGACTCATTGCATGCTTCTTTTTCGTATATATTCTTTATTGTACGCTTTGTTGAATACAATATATATATATATATATATAAAAGAAATATGTTGTAGTGGTTCCAACGAGAGAAAAGTATGTATATTAAAAGAACTAGTATTATTAAAAGAAAATTCGGATTGCCAACACACAAACAGAATGTTTTCGAGAATATTCCACATTGAACATGAAGAAAAATTAATTATTAATATGTCAAAAAATACTTTCACAAGAAGACAGTTTAACTGAGACCAGACCAGAAACACGTGTCGTGAAATTTGTAAAACAAAGTATAATATCAATTTACAACCAAAAAACGTTTGTCTTCTTTTTAATATATATATATATATATATATATATATATATATATATATATATATATATATATATATTGGATGCCTTTCTTGGTTCTTATATCAGTTTGGGTTCCTAAACAAAACGTTTGGAATTCAGGTATAAAAGGTTATGGAGAAATTGTCTTTTAATGATATTTTATTTGAATAATTCTTATTTGTGTATTTCCTCATTTTCATTTTTTTATTTTTTATTTTTTTGCAATAAAGAACTTCATTTTGAATAATTTCATTTAGTATAAATGTCCTTTCGATTAATTTTCATTCAAACAATTTACAATTCGAATGTTTTTTTAATAATTATTTTCGAACAGTGTTCACATAATCCTTAAGACAATTTTGAATTCACTGTAACAATGAAAGAACAAAGAAAGACAAACAGAAAGAAAGAAAAAAAGGAAGGAAGAAAGAAAAAAGAATAAAAGAAAGAAAGACAGACAGGCAAAAAGAAAGAAGGAAAGAAAGAATAGAAAAGAGAAAACTAGATAAAAAAAAGAAAGAAAGTGACTGAAGACGATGGACCCCTACAACCTCAAAACAAAAAAACGGCGATGAAGAAATGAATAGAAATAATATGAGCGCGGGAAATAATAATATAATAATAATAACGATGATAATAATAATAATAATAATAATAATAAAAATGATGATAATAATAATAATGATAATATAATAATGATGATGATGATAATAATAATAATGATGATGATAATAATAATAATAATGATGATTATTATGATGATAATAATAATAATAATAATGATGATATGATAATAATAATACTGATGATAATAATAATAATGATAATGATAATAATAATAATAATAATAATAATAATAATAATATGATGATGATTGATGATAATGATGATGATAATAATAATAATAATAATAATAATAATAATGATTATGGTGATGATAATAATAATAATAATAAATGATGATGATAATAATAATAATAATGAGGACGATAATAATAATAATAATAATAATAATAATAATAAAAGAAACGTAAGAAAATAAAAGGAGATGGGGGAAGGATGACTGTTGCAAACATGTAACAAAAATGAGAAGTAATCCATTCATTATAGAAAGTGTATTGGTGTCTGGCTGCCCGATGTCTAGACATCCTTTCCCTTACGTATTTGATATCTTTTTCGAGTTTCTTCGTCTCGCTTTGGAATTTTAGATAAAAAGATAAATCTCAGTGACAAAAATAGGTGTCTTTACTAATTCGCTGAAAAAAAAAAGAGCATAGCATGATGAAAAAAAAAAGGCCACTAAACGTAGGAAAAATAAAGTTTTACTGCTATAATCCTGTTATTATTAAGAAGAAAGAAACAAAGAATTTTATTCATTTTAATTTTATTAAAAATTTTTTCATCCTTTCTAGCACGTTCGAAATTTTGATCGCGGTCGCGTAATAATAATAATAACAATAATTATTTACTATAAGTTTTTTTAGCGCTTTTTTCAGTTGAAAAACATTAAATTGGAAATTCTTGCAAAAATCAAATAAGGGTAGGATCTTAATGAAACTTTCAGATCTTATTTAAAAATGAATGAAATTATTTTAGAAATGTTATTTTTTAGAAATTCATGATAAAAATATTTTTTTTACATCTATTACGACACCCCTTACTTACATTTATGAAAACTCGAAAATTCGACTTTGTGTTATTTAGTGATTATAGTAGTTAAAAGTAAAAGACTTTGAAGAGTATAAACCATCGACTTTTTGTAAACCGAAAGGAGAAGCTATCCAAAATTCAGCTCTGAATTGTATCCAAATAAATATTAGTTTCTTGTAAATAAATTATTTCATTTTGTTTCTCCTATAATAAAGGATTGTGAAGTGCGGCGGGGTTATTACTAAAACTATTTTATTTAGTTTCTTGTAAATATCTTATCAAATATTGTAGATACACATTGGGGGTAGATATGTAAATTGTTGTTTTTATTCGTCTCACCCACAGACAAAAATGTACATATGTCGACTAGTTAATTCCCCCTCCCTTACCCTGCTAGGTGACCAGCGATGTCAATGGATGCGGGACGGTTTTCGTATTTCGGGTGTGACTTTTTCGTAATTGTTGATGTGTTTTGGATGAATGTTTGTCTGATTGAGTAGCAGAACGATAAAGTGTTTCATATTATTATAGTCCCGCATTTTGTCCATTCATTGTTTCAACCACAATTAAGGATTGTTAATTATTTTTTTACTAACACGGATTTAGATATTTTTTTTAAAAACCTGTAACCCGTAGGGTCACCATATATGAAGCGGCCACAATAGAAGTGGTGTTTTTTGGGCAAGATAGCCTGACGGAGCTTAACACTCTCCAGGACTGTTTTTAATTCAGACTTTTTCCTTCTCCTAGACTGGTTGCCATGGTTATAGAACCCAGTCTGTCCTGATATTTACCCATAGCTGGGGGAGAAGAGGATTCATACCTTTCACGTAAGTGAATTTAATTCGACTGGAATTCGAACTCGTCTCTGCCGATTCCTCAAACCGAGCTGCTAAACCCAGGGTTCCCCACCATTATTCAATAAATATATTTCCCATGCAGTCATTCTATCATTTTTCGGTACCATCTTATATATATATATATATATATATATATATATATTATGAAATGGTATTTCTAAAAATTCAACAATCTAAAATGGGATTTAGTCAAATAAATTACACACACACACACACACATATTTTTATGTTTATATTCTATAAAAATGATATATATATATATAAAAATTGTGAAATTCGGACAAAAATAATGTTTTATTCTAAAAAAGAATGTATAAACATAAAAAAATGTCTTAAAAAATAATTGTCCATTTAAAGTTTAAAAACAGTAAAATCGACTTTGCTAACCTAGCGCTCTTCTGTGGCGAAATCGGTAAAAGCACGTCAGGCTATATGACGGTTCCGTGTAGGATACAGGTTCGATTCCTATCGGAGGACGCATATTTTCTATGACGATTTCTAGGACATTCAGGCCGGTAAATGTTGTTAATACTGTTTATTATAAACAGAGCATTTACTTAAATATTGTTATCTATAAAAAGAATGTATAAACATAAAATTTCTTATATATATATATATATATATATACTTTGTTCAAATTATGATATGCCGTATTTATGGGTTCCTATGGGATAGAGCATATATAAATATAAAAGTGGATATTGCAGTCAAAACCCAGACGCGACAGACTGTTTCATGCTAAACTTAATCGCCTCTGAGTGTTGACTTCATGTTATATATATATATATATATATATATGTATATATGTGTGTGTGTGTGTGTGTGTGTGTATTTAGGCAGCAATCCTTCTTTCATGCACACTTCATTGAAAACGACAGAGAAGGTGCTTTTATTTAGTTTTTTATACAATTTCTCATGCGAACTAATAATTTTTTTTCTTTTCGGATGATAATTTATATAAAAAACTGTTCAAATGTTCTTTTTATACGAGCGCTTTCGGCTATACATTTAGCCATTTTCAAGAATTATATTTTAACTGTTAAAGTAAGAAATAGTTTATTGTATGCCTGTTTTATAAAATGTTTTCATTTTTCAAAACACGGTCAAGATATTACGTCCATTTTCAGAGTTAATATTATTAAGTGTTTGTTTTTATAAATAAGGCTTCCATTATTTTTAGCTTTTTATGCATGTAGATGATGCTATTATATTAGTGTTGTCAACAAGTATATTACGAATAGGGCCCGGTAGATCTCCATGAATATTTAAATGAGATCTAATTGAGCTATTGTCAGAAAGGTGTAGAGTGAGTCTGCGTGTCAAACATGTTGTAGTGTGGCCTATATAATTATTTACGAAAACATTCGTAAATAATTATACAGATCGCATTGTATAAAATACTAAATAAAAGCACCTTGTCTGTCGTTTTCAATGAAATATATATATATATATATATATATATATTGTTGATAAATTCTCTGAAAGAGCGAAAGCATTCGGACTCACTATTAACATAAAGAAGATTGAGCTAATGTACCAACTAGGCAATCCAACTCTCACAAATCCTTCCGTATTTATTGATGGTAGGGCATTAAAAACCATGGGGGAGTTTACATATCTTGGATCAACTGATGGAAAAATGGACAGAGAAATCCAATGCAGAACAGCCAAAGCCAGCACAGCATTCAGTAATCTTAAGCATAGGTTATGGAACACCAAATACATGTCTCTCAGAGTAAAGATCGACATATACAGATCAGTTGTTCTCTCAACCCTTCTCTATGATGCTGAAACTTGGACCCTATACCGCAAGGATATAAATCAACTTGACACCTTTCACATGTGGTGTCTTCATGCCATATGTGATATAAAATGGGATGACAATCAAGGATAGTGCAATACTGAAGAAATGTAACAACATAACAGACAATGAAACCATTCTAGCAAAGATGCAGCTTAGGTGGACTTGTAATGTGAGAATGGATGAGCATAGGCTTCCAAAAAGAGGCTTTATGGACAACTACCAAACTCCAAGCGATCAGTTGAACGTTCATTCTTACTCTACAAAGTCAAATTGAAAGACAACTTGAAACGTCTCAACTTTGATCTGAAAACCTGGGAAGCCCAAGCATCAAACCGAAAGAACTGGCGTAAGACATGTTTCATTAAGTTAAAGGGTTTTGAAGACAATAGACTAAAGCACTGTGATCCGCTTCGTGAAACTCTGAAGCAGAGACGCGATCAAAATCCTGCTTCAAATTTCATCTGTCAGTGTGATTTTGTCGCCCGCAGCAAGGCTGGGCTAGTATCGCATTTAAGAAAGCACAAATGAAATATGCCTTTCCCTTACCTGATTTTCTCTACAATAGTCCTTGGTAACATGCATGAGTGTAAAACGAAAGGCACCATCCAATGCTGACCCTCATTTATCATTCACGATAAGAGAATCCACCATATATACCGGGTGTAAGAGCAAAATTGTACAAATCGTGTAACAGCAAAATGATCCAATTGGTAGATTAAACTTTGAACCTTTCTATCTTAGAAATGATTAAGGATATCTTACTGGAATTGTCCGAAGTTTTTAGAAGACTATTGAATTCTACTTTGAATGATAAGAATGTATTTAACTAAACTCTCCAAGTTTCATCACTGCTGTGGCAGGGTATTGAACTCACAACTCTTTAGGACTAGTCACTGGATCTAACCAACGTCATTATCCACTTGGCCATGTGTTCCTGGTGAGTTGAGTTAAAGGGAAATAACTGAGACATACGGAAGGGACATGGCACGTGGAACTAGAGCAATCTACTCCGGTGGAAGAAATAAAGGGTTCAGTTCGAAATTTTAATCATTCGAAGAAGGCTGGACCGTACAACGGCCGAAACATTGTGAATATGAGTATAACAGTCCGAATAATGTAAATAATGCAAGTAATTATAATACCTCATCTCAGATATATAGAGGTCGAAACGCTGTTAATATGGCAATGAAGATGAGGATAACAGTCCGAATAATGTAAATAATGCAAGTAATCATAGTATCTCATCTCAGAGATCTAGAGTTCGAAACGTTGTGAATATAGCAATGAAGATGAGAATAACAATCCGAATAATGTAAATAAAGCAAGCAATCATAATACCTCATCTCAGAGATCTAGAGGTCGAAACGTTGTGAATATAGCAATGAAGATGAGGATAACAGTCTAAATAATGTAAATAATGCAAGCAATAATAATACCTCATCTCAGACATCTAGAGGCCGAAACGTTGTGAATATAGCAATGAAGATGAGGATAATGAAGATGAGTATAACAGCCCGAATAAAGCAAACAATGCAATAATCATAATACCTCATCCCCAAAATCTAAAGGCCGAAACGTTGTGAATATGGCAATGAAGATGAGGATAACAGTCCGAATAAAGTAAATAATGCAATAATCATAGTACCTCATCTTAGAGATCTTGAGGCCGAAACGTTGTGAATATAGCAATGAAGATGAGGATAACAGTCTGAATAATGGAAATAATGCAAGTAATCTTAATACCTCATCTCAAAGATCTAAAGGCCGAAACGTTGTGAATATGGCAATGAAGATGAGGATAATAGTCCGAATAATGTAAATAATGTAAGTAATTATAATACTTCATCTCAGAGATACAGACAGATATTTCAGCAACCCATTTGCGTCTTAGTGAAATGAGTGAAAAAACAGAACAATATATAGAATTATATTTGGTTTTTAATTAATGTTTCTTTGTAATTAACATCGTCTATTTAAATGGCGACAAAATTTGTTCATAATTTTATAGCAAACTTTGGCAAACAGTTTTATTAAGCCAATAATGTTCATAACATATTTTTTTAATTATTATTCTTACTTTTCTTCTAATTCGTTGTGTTCCTTTCTTTTTTAATTATCCGTCTCGTGACGTAATGTCTCCCTTGCTTTCGTTAATATCGTGTGTCACTTGATTAGTCGTTTTTGAGAGGCGCGCGTGTTGTCATTCAACTCATCCGATGGAGTCGCAAAAGCGGTGGGAGAGACGATTTTTTTTTTTTTTTTTTTTTTTGATTGAGCAGCCAGTGACTCTATTATTGTCCTAGCTTTCAATTTGGTAATTCGACAACTTTTCTTTTTCTTTATCTATTTCTTGCTTATTTAAAGGTTTATGATTATTAACAAATCGTTCAATTGATTGCTTTAAATTTCGCCCGATGCCTACTCTTACCTTGACGTTTATAAATATTTTTGTTTGCCTCTTGATCAACTTCTGTTAAGAATTCTATTAATTCTACTTTACTTTATTTAGTGAAAAAAATATACGGCTGGTAATGATTTCTTCTTTTTCTAAACTTCTTCATTTTATTATTATTATTATTATTATTATTATTATTATTATTATTATCGGCCTCCCAATTTTGCCTTTTGCCATACTCCGTCTCTTTATTTCATTGCGGATCATTTGAAGAACAAATTGATAATATTCCGTGGATTTTAATCGCTTGTTTATTTATTGTACTTTCCCTAGCGTTTGTTGTCGTTATTTCGATTAATTCACCTCCTCCTCCTCCTCCCCTTCTTCTTCTTCTTCTTCTTCTTCTTCTAATGATAATAATAATAATAATTATTATTATTGTAATTATTATTAATATAATTATTTTCTCCTTCTTCCTCTTCTTCATATTATTTTTATTTGCTTCTTCTTCCTCCTCCTCCTTCTCCTCTTCTTCATATTATTTTTATTTTGTCCTTCTTCTTCCTCTTCTTCACCTCCTCTGCCTCATATTTTTATTCTCTTTCTTCTTCTTCCCCTTCTTCTTCTTCTTCTTCTTCTTCTTCTATTCGTTCTTATTATTTTTGTTGTCATGTTTTTCTTCTTCTTTTACTTCTTATTTGCTTTGTTCTTCTTCCTCTTAATGTTGTCATGTCTTTCTTCTTCTTCTTCTTCTTCTTCTTCTTCTTCTTCTTCTTCTTCTTCTTATTTACTTCTTTAACGTTTTGCTCTTCTATAATCCTACTTCTCCAGTCTTTCTTCCTTCATACTTAGCTCCTTCAATTTCCTTTATCTTGTATCTTTTTTTATTTTTCTGCTTATTCATTCATCACTTTTTTCTTCCTATTATTATTATTATTATTAATATTTTCATTTTTTCTTCTTCTTATTATTTTTCATCTTCTTCTTGTTACTAATGTTCCAATGTCTTTCTTCTTTTTCTTATCATTATTATTATTAATATCATGTTCTTCCTCTTCCGTTCATGTCTTTATCGTTAAGATAATTTCTCTTCTCCTTTTTTAATTGACATTTTCTCAATCCTCTTACAATGACAACGGTTCTCTTTCCTTTTCTCTCTCTTTCCTTGTCTCTCCTATCTCTTTTTTCTCTCTCTTTTCTCTTTCTTTCCATTTCTCTTTCTTTTCTTTTAATTCTCTTCTCTTTTCTCTCTCATTCCTTTTCACTCTCTTTTCTCTCTCTTTCCTTTTCTCTCTCTTTCTTTGTCTCTCCTATCTCTTTTTTCTCTCTCTTTCCTTTTCTCTCTCTTTCCTTTTCTCTTTCTTTCCCTTTTCTCTCTTTTCCTTTGCCTCGTTTCTTTTCTCTCTCTTTTCTCTCTCTTTCATTTTCTCTCTCATTTCCTTTTTCTCTCTTTTTCTCTTTTCTTTTCTTTTCTCTCTCTTTTCCTTTCTCTCTCTTTTCCTTTCTCTCTCTTTTCTTTTCTCCCTCTTTTCTTTTCTCTCTCTTTTCTCTCTCTTTCCCTTTTCTCTCTCTTTCCCTTTTCTCTTTCTTTCCCTTTTCTCTCTTTTCCTTTGTCTCGTTTCTTTTCTCTCTCTTTCATTTTCTTTCTCTTTTCCTTTCTCTCTCCTTTTCTCTTTTCTTTTCTTTTCTCTCTCTTTCCTTTTCTCTCTCTTTTCCTTTCTCTCTCTTTTCTTTACTCTCTCTTTTCTTTTCTCACTCTTTCTTTTTCTCTCTATTTCCTTTTCCTTATCTTCTCTTTTCTCTTCCTTTCTTTTTCTCTCTCTTTTCTGTTCTCTCTCTTTTCTTTTCCTTTTCTCTCTCTCTCTCTTTTTCTCTTTCCTTCTGTTCTTACCCTTTCTCCTGTAACTTCTTTTTTTTTTCTCTCCTTTAAATTTGCTTAATTTTATTTACATAATTTCTTTAACATGTCTGTCATCCTGACATTTCTTTTGCTTTCTTTGCTTGAAATTCCAAATTCGTTTCATCGGATCGAATATTGCAAGCGATTAATGAGATCACATGACGCACTCAATGAGACACAACCCAATGTCGTTAGTTTCAATAGATAGGAAGATTTCTAAAAGCGATTGAATTAAATATCTCAAGTATATAACTCAATAAAATTTCAAGAATAATAAAAAGAAGAATTTAATCATTTAAAAAACTTTAAGATTAGTTAGTTAATTGAATATTATTCTCTTTCTCTCACACTCTTTTTATCCCTCTCTTTGATTTTCTTAAAATCTCCTATGAATCAAAAGACCACAGCCTCACCACTTTAGGTGTTGCTTTGGTTACCGTAGCAAAACGTTTTCATGGTTTGAAATTGTTAGTCCTATAACTAACCTTTTTTTTTTTTAATTTAGAGTTGTTCTGCTGTCATACTAACTACCAACTAAGGCTAAAGAGCCTACTCTACCCTCTGATTTAAACCAGTGCTTCTCAACCATTTTCAGCCAATGGACCATTTTTTCTTAAAAGAATTAAAATGGACCACTCCTATGAATAATTTAGACCCATTTTTGTGAAATGGCTACAATTATTTTTTTTATGGCTATGAATTCTCTGTAAATCACCAGAAATGTTATGCGAGCCGCCTGTGGTCCACCTGGGCCACGTTGAGAGTCACTGATTTAAACTATAGCTGGGGTTGGGGAGGGGAGAAGGACTCGCTCACCCCTCTTCTAAGGGTAAAATACTGTAGATAAATCCTATTTACACCAGACCGATAATTTTCTTAAAAGCAAAAACCTATTTCGAATGTATTCTGTTCCGGTTTGGTTTGGTTTGTTTTTGTTTTACGGCATATCAACACCTCAATGGGTTATTTAATGCCGATAAGATTTTTAAGTTAGGTTCATATGAATAATGTGCTGCTTCGACTTTTTCCCTTTATTTATTTACTTTTCTTTCTTCTTTTTTCGTCATTCTAACGTTTGTCTTCGTCTTTAGTCTCCTCTTCTTTCTTTCTCATTTCCTCTGACACGTGGAACTAGAAATAAAGGGTTCGTTTCAAAATTCCATTCACCTGAAAAAAGCGGGAGCGTACAATATTTTTCGGTCATTCAAGCCCGTGTCAGTACCAACTGGTGGTGTTCTATCGTCAGAAATAAAACTTTGAAAGGAAGAAATCAAACGACTGCTCAGAATCAAATTTGTCCTCCATCAATGCCATCGACTATTCCTTGTAATGATAAACCATGGCAGAAGGAGCCAGATATTTTCTGGAATGATAGAATGAGCCGAAATAGCTCCAGTCAAAATATACGAGCAATACTCCATTTTGGGTCTAATCTGACTCTTGTAAAGATATAGCGTGACAGAACGAGTCAGGTACTTTCTGGAGAGAAAGAATGAGCCGAAACAGCTCCAGCCCAGGTATAGCAGCAATACTCCATTTTGGGTTTAATCTGACTCTTGTAAAGATATAGCGTGACAGAACGAGTCAGGTACTTTCTGGAGAGAAAGAATGAGCCGAAACAGCTCCAGCCCAGGTATAGCAGCAATACTCCATTTTGGGTTTAATCTGACTCTTGTAAAGATATAGCGTGACAGAACAGGTCAGGTACTTTCTGGAGCGATAGAATGAGCAAGAAAACAGCTCCAGCCCAGATATAGCAGCAATACTCCATTTTGGGTTTAATCTGACTCTTGTAAAGATTGTGCACAAAGGAGTCATTTACTTTATAGCGATGACAGAAGGCCAGATATCAGCAATACTCCATTTTGGGTTTAATCTGACTCTTTTCTGGAGTACTTTCTGGAGCGATAGAATGAGCCAAAACAGCTCCAGCCCAGATATAGCAGCAATACTCCATTTTGGGTTTAATCTGACTCTTGTAAAGATAACGTTGACAGAAGGAGTTTATTTTCTGGAGAGATAGAATACTTTCTGGCAGCAAGAGACTTTGAAAAAGAATGAGCCGAAACAGCTCCAGCCCAGATATAGCAGCAATACTCCATTTTGGGTTTAATCTGACTCTTGTAAAGATAAACGTTGACAGAAGGAGTCAGGTACTTTCTGGAGAGATAGAATGAGCCAAAACAGCTCCAGCCCAGATATAGCAGCAATACTCCATTTTGGGTTTAATCTGACTCTTGTAAAGATAAACGTTGACAGAAGGAGTCAGGTACTTTCTGGAGAGATAGAATGAGCCAAAACAGCTCCAGCCCAGATATAGCAGCAATACTCCATTTTGGGTTTAATCTGACTCTTGTAAAAGATAAGCGTTGACAGAAGGAGTCATTTTACTTTCTGGAGAGATGAGCCGAAACAGCTCCAGGCCAGATATAGCAGCAATACTCCATTTTGGGTTTAATCTGACTCTTGTAAAGATAACGTTGACAGAAAGGGTCAGGTACTTTCTGGAGAGATAGAATGAGCCAGAAACAGCTCCAGCCCAGATATAGCAGCAATACTCCATTTTGGGTTTAATCTGACTCTTGTAAAAGATAAAGCGTGACAGAAGGAGTCAGGTACTTTCTGGAGCGATAGAATGAGCCGAAACAGCTCCAGCCCAGATATAGCAGCAATACTCCATTTTGGGTTTAATCTGACTCTTGTAAAGATAAGCGTGACAGAAGGAGTCAGGTACTTTCTGGAGCGATAGAATGAGCCAAAACAGCTCCATCCCAGATATAGCAGCAATACTCCATTTTGGGTTTAATCTGACTCTTGTAAAGATAAACCATGGCAGAAGGTGTCAGGTACTTTCTGGAGCGATAGAATGAGCCAAAACAGCTCCATCCCAGATATAGCAGCAATACTCCATTTTGGGTTTAATCTGACTCTTGTAAAGATAACGTTGCACAGAAGGAGTCAGTTACTTTCTGGAGAGATAGAATTTGCCGAAACAGCTCCAGGCCAGATATAGCAGCAATACTCCATTTTGGGTTTAATCTGACTCTTGTAAAGATAAACCATGGCAGAAGGAGTCAGGTACTTTCTGGAGCGATAGAATGAGCCAAAACAGCTCCAGCCCAGATATAGCAGCAATACTCCATTTTGGGTTTAATCTGACTCTTGTAAAGATAAACCATGGCAGAAGGAGTCAGGTACTTTCTGGAGCGATAGAATGAGCCAAAACAGCTCCAGCCCAGATATAGCAGCAATACTCCATTTTGGGTTTAATCTGACTCTTGTAAAAATAACGTTGCAGAACAGGTCATTTACTTTCTGGAGAGATAGAATGAGCAAAAACAGCTCCAGCCCAGATATAGCAGCAATACTCCATTTTGGGTTTAATCTGACTCTTGTAAAGATAAACCATGACAGAAGGAGTCATTTACTTTCTGGAGCGAAAGAATGAGCCAAAACAGCTCCAGCCCAGATATAGCAGCAATACTCCATTTGGGTTTAATCTGACTCTTGTAAAGATAAACCATGACAGAACAAGTCAGGTACTTTCTGGAGAGATAGAATGAGCCAAAACAGCTCCAGCCCAGATATAGCAGCAATACTCCATTTTGGGTTTAATCTGACTCTTGTAAAGATAAACCGTGACAGAAGGAGTCAGGTACTTTCTGGAGCGATAGAATGAGCCAAACAGCTCCAACCCAGATATAGCAAAACATTTTGGGTTTAATCTGACTCTTGTAAAGATCCAGTCATTTACTTTCAGATATAGCTCCATCCCAGCAATACTCCATTTTGGGTTTAATCTGACTCTTGTAAAGATAAACCATGGCAGAACTGTCAGGTACTTTCTGGAGAGATAGAATGAGCCAAAAACAGCTCCAGCCCAGATATAGCAGCAATACTCCATTTTGGGTTTAATCTGACTCTTGTAAAGATAAACCATGGCAGAAGGAGTCAGGTACTTTCTGGAGCGATAGAATGAGCCAAAACAGCTCCAGCCCAGATATAGCAGCAATACTCCATTTTGGGTTTAATCTGACTCTTGTAAAGATAAACCATGCAGAAGGAGTTGTTTACTTTCTGGAGCGATAGAATGAGCCAAAACAGCTCCAGCCCAGATATAGCAGCAATACTCCATTTTGGGTTTAATCTGACTCTTGTAAAAATAACGTTGCACAGAAGGAGTCATTTACTTTCTGGAGAGATAGAATGAGCCAAAACAGCTCCAGCCCAGATATAGCAGCAATACTCCATTTTGGGTTTAATCTGACTCTTGTAAAGATAAACCATGGCAGAAGGAGTCAGGTACTTTCTGGAGAGATAGAATGAGCCGAAACAGCTCCATCCCAGATATAGCAGCAATACTCCATTTTGGGTTTAATCTGACTCTTGTAAAGATAAACCATGGCAGAAGGAGTCAGGTACTTTCTGGAGCGATAGAATGAGCCAAAACAGCTCCAGCCCAGATATAGCAGCAATACTCCATTTTGGGTTTAATCTGACTCTTGTAAAGATAAAACCATGGCAGAAAGTCATTTATTTCTGGAGCGATAGAATGAGCCAAAACAGCTCCATTCAGCAGCAATACTCCATTTTGGGTTTAATCTGACTCTTGTAAAAATAACGTTGCACAGAAGGAGTCATTTACTTTCTGGAGAGATAGAATGAGCCGAAACAGCTCCATCCCAGATATAGCAGCAATACTCCATTTTGGGTTTAATCTGACTCTTGTAAAGATAACGTTGCACAGAAGGAGTCATTTACTTTCTGGAGAGATAGAATGAGCCGAAACAGCTCAGCCCAGATATAGCAGCAATACTCCATTTTGGGTTTAATCTGATAAAGATAAACCAGCGTGACAGAAGGTGTCAGGTACTTTCTGGAGCGATAGAATGAGCCAAAACAGCTCCAGCCCAGATATAGCAGCAATACTCCATTTTGGGTTTAATCTGACTCTTGTAAAAAATAACGTTTGTAAAGTCATTTAACCATAGAATGAGCCAGAAACAGCTTCAAGATATAGCAGCAATACT